TCCTGAAGAAACCTTAGCAGAGACATCTTAAATGACGATGTCACAGTTCTAGAAAAAATTGACAGAATCTGAAGTTTTTGCCAAATTGCATATATATATATATATGTTTATGACAAAACAGTGACATTTTCCACATCACGTCTTAACATTTCTGCTGGAAAAGAGCTGGCGAGCCCCAGTTATCTTTATTTTTAGTGACACACTGCCTGCATATCAGAGAATCTAAAACTCCAGGCACTTCTGGAAGTCTCACCCACACTGACCCCTTTCCACCCATCCATACTATATATTTATACTTATATATTCACATGCCTGGCTGTCCTTAACATTCAATTTGACATTCCAATGCATATGTAGAGATATGCCAGTTTTTGATAAGTATTGCTTATAGAACATTAAAATAGAAGATACTGTGTTGTCAGGGCAAAAACAAACCTATTATCTACCAAAACATTTTAATGACAATTCTTACACTGTTGCTGTAGAGCAAAGATTTTGTTATTCAAGCACATGACAATTTAATTTGACTATTATTTACATTAGAGAGAGAGAGAAAAAAAAAACAATGTTTTGTCATTCAAGCATCATTAATCTTGCACCATGCAGCTCTTACTGATAATAAAGAAAAAAAATCTGAAAATTGATTTTTTCCCAAATAATCTGACAATAATTTGGCCATTTATCTTATTGGTCAAGAAAGTGAACAAGATTTAAAACAGTTCTGTCTAAAAATCTTAGGCTGTTTCAATCAAAATATGAATAAATAAAATAATGAATAAAAAACCCAATCATTATTTGCTATTAGATCGCAGACAAAGCTAGCAGGTTTTTTCTTCTAGGGTGACATTTAAAGGCATTTTTTTAAATTAAACATGTTTTATAACATGACCTCACAATTGACTTCCACCTTTTGATAAGGTAAAACAATGTCAGGCCTAGGTCTGCTTACCTTAAAAGGTGCATATTAAGATTGTGAGATTACCAAATTGCTAGGACAAATAAGGTTAAGAAACAGCACAGAGGGAGGATACAGTAGGCAGATCACTTGTTTCCATTAGCTCTTTTAAAAGGTTTCAGAAAATTAAACCCACTGTGTGTAAAATTGACAGAGCCTCCTTAAACTCAATAACAGAAGCCACATGTACTAGCTCATAGTGCATGAGGAGAACGGGAACAGTCTTAGCCTGCCCACAATGCATAATGACTTTATACACCATACACACCATCAAATTGTCTTCAAATATTGCTCTTTAGTGTTATAAAAGAGTTGGTTGACAAAATCCACAATATTTGAATCTGATGTTCAACATTTAACTTAAATGTTTAGCAATCCAACCTCTTTAACCACAAACACTTTTAATCACAACATTTTATGCATATTCACCATAGAAAAATAAAAATAAAACATACTGATATAGAGCAAAAGCTAAAATCCAGTAAACATTAAGGTCTTAAGTAATTTTGTCCATTCATCAAGTTGCAATTTTGTGAAAAATTTAGCTTATATGTAAAATGTACTTTTAGATGTTTTACAAAAAAGTAATATTTTATGCTATTTAACTTCAAGAAACCTTTAAGCCAGGAATCTTGTTTTCAGAATAATCATAAATACACTGGAATAAAAAACAAAACAAACAAAGAAACATCTGTTCAATTTAATAAAACCAATCACCCAATTTTGTGAACAAAATCTTCAACCTGACCTAGTCTGAAGTCTTATGCAATCAGAAGAAAGCAAAGGTGATTAAATTCAAGATTAAGTCCCTTAATTGCCCTAATCTTTCAGACTGCAATGTTTCGTAAAAGAATTGTGGTAAGATAATCAGCCAGTTTGGAGTCAGGAAGCTTCAAGCAGTATATGCATTGTGGTATATTTGATTGTTATAAGAGCATTATCAAATCTCTTTAAAGCTATGTGGTTAGATGAGCCAGTAAATCAGAAACAACTTTTTCCTCATTTAATTGTTCATCCTTGTTCCCGGCACTTCTATTTTTCTTTAAACCCCTGACTGAAATTCTTAAGTTATTCTGTTTCATAAAACATTATTGAGTTATGTTGTATTTCAGTTAGGCCCACAAACATGAATACTGGGCAGTAGGTGGCAGCACATGTGTTATTTTCCCTCCCCAGCCCACGCCTTCCTTTCCCTCTTTCACTCTTGAAAATGTCATTTTGTCACCTGGAACTTGTCTTTGTCTCCCCCATAACTTTTTTTCTCCACTTGTCCTTTGTTTGTTTCCAACATGTGAGAACCTCACAAAGGTAGAAATCGAAACCAAAGATCTGTCTAAAAGTAAATAGATTAATTTAAATATTCTTAAATTACAAGACCCAATCCAGCAAATGCTTTAAAGGTTTAAAGGTAAATTAATTCAAATAACCACTTGAGTCAATCTTAAGAAAAGCTAGTAAACAAGTGTAGCAGCTCAGCTGTAATTCCTTTCCATTGTTTGAGGTTAAGTAATAAAAAGATAGTAAAGAATGAAATTTTCAGTCACAAGACCTTAAAATTCAAAAGCCACTTGACATATTAAATTTGAAAACTTTCCACTGACAAACATGTTTTCAACTATAATACCTGGCCATTGTTTGCAGCTTTCTCTCAGTGATTCATAACTTTACATGAAATTACAGCAGGTGCAGATCTGAAAATTGGTCAGAACTTTGGTTTTCTAGCCAGGTGTTCTCTGGAAGTTGTGGTTTTAAAATAGTTAGCACTAAGGGCTTCTGGCAAAAAAAATAATGAGAAGATGAGATTGCTCCCAAATAAACAGCATCTGGATATGAGGAACAGTTGGCACCTATGTGTCTCCAGTGTTCCAAGTTGAATTACAAAATTATATCACACTCACAATTGACATAAAGAACAGAGACATATGGCAACCTGATTAAGTAACCTCAGTTTTAGCAACTTCAAGAATCCTAAGCCACAAGAAAGTTCAAAACCATCACTTGCTTCATTGACATGTAAACTCCAATGAAGGTGTGAATACGTTTAACAGTTTTATCAAAATTTTTAATCATACACTTTCACTCTAGATGCTTATCACATAGTACAATGTCTTTGGGTGGGGGTGGGAGTTCTCTTCACAACATCAGACAATCACTTCCTATTTTTTTGCAGTCCTACTAATCACAGGATAAACACTCTAAGAGGAGCATTCTTAAGGAGTTCCTTAAAAAAAGGGGAAAAAGATATTGCAGGTGGCTCTAGATGGTAATTACTACATAAGCACTACATTACACCACACTGCACCACCCACAGGTAGATATAATGGACACTTATAAATGAAGTGCTGTCCTTGATGAGACTACGTACCACCTACTTACACATAATAGACATCAGAACCATTGGAAACTTGGGGGGAAATATTCAAACAAACAACACACATGAAAGAATCCTGCATCAGGTTTTAGATACATCATTCATTTCCTAGATGACAAAAACAACAAAAAGAAAAAAAACAGTAGTGTTGCTTGGCTGCATTACTGACTGGATAAAGATACTGCAGCAATGGGTTCACCTTATTCTAAAGTGATCAGTCAGACGTGCTTGTGATACCAATAACAATGTCACTTACTTGGATTAGGTGTTAAAATAGTAGAGCTCAGGTGACATGTTTTGCTTGAAATTCTATTACAAAATGTATTTTTGGCAGATATATTTTCCTGAAAAACACTTAATATTTTACCACATACTGTTGTTCGCTGAAGAGTGTTGCTTCAATAACCAATACAAGAGGAAGAACCTTTACTCACAGTAATATAATATAATATAATATAATATAATATAATATAATATAATATAATATAATATAATATAATATAATATATACGCTTTCATGACAAATGAAATAAACAGTACTCAGCAGAAAATAAAACTTTTTATACAAAACTGAACTGACAATGACCAGAATAACTTTTAATAAAATCTGGTGAAATTTATTTCATTACAGAAATAGCATCAGGATTTGAAATTCAAATTTTTCATCCATTCATTTTGGCCATTTACCAGGTAATGTCAGTGCATAATATTAAACTAATTTTTGATAATGCACAGCTGAAATCTTGGCCTAAAGGCACCGGTGACAGCCAGTTAACCACAGACACCATGACGTAACAGTTTCCTGATACCACGCTGTGCTCACCACTGTAAACTCAGTTCACTCAGTTCAGGTGACACAGGGTTTTAAGGGGGGGGGGGGGGGTATCAGAATTTTTGAATGGAAGCAATTTTCTTTATCTAATTGTCTGCTTTTTATTATTCAGAAAAAAAATTTTTTTTCAAACCAGCAGTATTGTTTTGGTGAATTTTAAATTTTGTTACATAATTGCATAATATATAATTGTCAATTCATCCCTATTTTGACTTAAAATTTCACCTATTTTTTCCAAAGTCTGCAACAAAAGTATTGCTAGAGTGACCCCAGAAAGATCACTGCAAACAACTACCCAACCACTGATATTAAAAAATATCAAGTCACGAAGCCTTGTGTCACATTACCTAGAAATGGTTATTCAGGTTACAACTTCTAATTGCCATTGCCATCAAATTGGCAATTAGCTCATCCATCTCGACATTTTGCATGAAATAACAGATCAGTTAGAGCTTCTCACATTCATCTTAGGTCTTTTTTCTCTTACCTATGACAGGAAATTAACAATGTGTTTATAACTGAAAACTGCAGTACAATATAATCTTACCTTGTGGGGGCAAATTAATTTTTTCTTTTTGTCACCGTTTATCTTTTTTCATTCTTTCTAAGGTAAACAGGTGCCATAAATAGAGATGAGTGATTTCAAACATCTTATCAAATAAAAGATTGCCGAGTGGAAGTCATGATCAAATAATGGGTTTATCTCATGTTTGATGGTAATTTCAGAAGGAACAAGCTCATTTTCCCACCTGATACCAGGAAACAAACCAAAACAAAACAATAAATAAATAAATAAGTAAATGACTGTCTACCACAAACTACAAAAGAAAAAAATTACTTACATCATCTGCTGAATCTCCGTAGCAAACCACGCCTCATGGGACTTGGATAAAGTCCCCTGGTGAGGAGAATCGTGTTTCCGCACCCTTGCTGGAGGGCTTTCCATTCCCGCGTGTTCCATGACTGGTCAGCTCCAATGGCCAATAACAGCCCTATCAGAGCACTAGCCCCTGGTCAGTTCAGTTCAGTTTGCCACTTATAAGGAATAAAACATTTCTTATAAGTAATAAAACATTTCAAGTTCAATCAGGGTTTCATTTTATCATATTTTGAAAAACAAAGTGAAGAAAACAGGAAGACTACATACTGGTAGTTAACATAGAAAGAAAACGAAAAAACGGGAAGATGATTAATATAGAAGTAGACAGATTCAATTTCACTTTACAAGAATAAGAAAAGCAGACTACCGTACATGTAGTACTCAGGCAGATGCATCCTAATCAATGCATTACTAGATATCATCATGTAGGTTTTGCTGTATCAAACCAAGATTCCCCTTTCTAATTTATATCTCCAGGTATATGCTAAACAAATAATTGTATCTAACATCTTCCTTCCAAGGGTAATGGAGATGTCACACACAGAAATATGATCATAATGAAATATCCATTTCCTCTGTTTGGTACCACATATCTTACCTTTCCTTGCAAACATGAGAGACTCTTCCTTTATTGGTGAATGGTTTTCACACTAGGCTCTGTAAATAAATAGTATATGCATGTACATGTAGAGTAAATATAGAACCAATGATGAAACCAGTAACCACAGACTTGTCCCCAACCTCAGGTATTCAGGGTAATCATTTTGTAATCAACCACTACCATGACAATGTGACCCAAATCTTTTAAAAGATCAATAACATACATCATGCACATTTTCCACTGCTTAAAACATCACCAAACACAGCTCGAGTTGTTCATAATGCAGGCTCTTATTATTTAGATGGAATATAGGTGGCCGACGACAGCACGGGCAATCTGCCAAAACTTATTTTGAAATTATGCCAGTGTGTTGAAATATGATACATGTGCAATATGCACATTGCTCATCTTTTCTGTACAGACTGAAACCGTGATGATGGTACTAATGATATTACACAACAACTCCAGGTAAGCAAGCCATTAGCATTTTCTGAAACTCAAAAGCCATTAAAATTAACAGCAACAGGTGTTTGCTACAGATTTGTCAGTTTTAAAGCATGAGATTTTTTGCATCCATGTTAGAGGGACATTACAGTTAACCCACTTAATTCATGGAGGAAAATTTCCAGTGTGTTATCACAATCAAGGTATCTTTTAGGAATCTAAAATCAATTTCTAATTTGCAACTTTACTTAAAGATGGGAGCAAAAGCACATTAAATGGCAACCTTTTAAAGATCAGCCCTTAATTATCAAAATATATTTATGGATACTTTAAAGAATAATGAGTCAAACATGAAAAGTACTAGTACTCATCACTGTATGGTGACTTTTAAGAAACTGCCTCATTTAAATGTAATATTTTCATGCATATTTTGTCACTGCAATCCTAATCTCAATTCATTTTTGAAGAGGATGTGATATATCAAATGGAAATAAATCAAACTGATAAATTTATGAAGCATACAAAAATAATCAACACAAGACCAACTAGTGAAATTTTAAAAATGAAGCTTAAATTGTTTATAAACGGTAGAATCTACAGTTTCAGTAAATATATTTATGTAGTGACAATAACCCAAAAGATGTACGTACATAAAATTCATGCATGGAATAGTGATTGATAGAGGAAAAAAGGTATAATGTCTTTCTAAAGTGGCATGTTACATGTGCTTGCATTGGAGCTATGATGTACAATAATAGCACTTAATGTTGCCAATTGGCACTAGAAGAAGAGGGTTAGATGGCATGGGTCTGTTGGGAAGCCATTTAAGTCTTTAAATACATATGCTTTTCAATGCACCAAGGCCAAGGGTTTCTACTACACAAAATTTTAATGTATAGGCTTAATCATAGGTAAAGAACAAGGAGTTGCACTGTTGTATAATGCAGGATTATATTCATTAGTTAAATAAGTATTAAAACTTGGAGTACAGGCAATGTCAGTTTTTTCAAAACTTTGAAGTTTCAAAAAATGTTTGCAAAAAAGCTAAAGACTGAACTAAATCAATTTTACAAGACTCGTAAAAAATTGCTTGAAAATCAGAAATCTGTGCTCAAATAAAAAATTATACATTTTGTCAGGTTAATTTCTTTTTTTAAAAAAATGTCATTTGTGAGTGAAGCAAAATGGAGGCTGCATTCCATCAAAAATGCACTCCGTCAAAAAAAAAAAAAAAAAAAAACGTTAAGTCCAACAAAAGAGCTAAAACCTTGGGGCATTTGGCATGTGATTTGTCACATGTTGTAGAACAACAAAGAGAATTTGGAAGGCACTGTAGATAAAGAAACTTCAAGGTTAAAATTCTTTATTTCTCTTTTTATAATTGGTATTGTTGCTGACATGTGTCACACAAACTGATATTGATATAATTAATGAGCCTCACTCACCGAGTGAGAAGCCACGGGTGTCAAGTTTCCGGTAGAACACTTAGCCAACAAAGAAACACGCTCCTTCAATATACCGATTTGCCCATATTATAGAATGTTCACTGTAAACAAGAGCACGTGAATGTCAATAGCCATGAATAATGATTATGCTATCAGAGCGAAATACAGGTATTCATGGAAGGCATGCGAGTCCACCTACGCACTTAGCGGGGGCGCGGCTTACACTGGGCGAAGGGCACCTTTACGGCGCCGTCTATCCTTACCACCTGCCTTCCATCTTATACTTGACAAGCAGATTGTCCAAGCAAGCACGGGTGGGCTGAATTTGCGAAAAATATGCCCGTTTTAACGAAAATATTGCCCTTCCATGGGCGCTGCCATTTTCAATGAATCACGCATGCGCATGACATTAATGCATGCATTAGGAATAGTTTCGCTGTACGCACATTGGTAAAAACAAGGAAGTATTTTGGTTGACGCAGCCTGACGCATTTAAAAATTTGCATTTGACATCATTATGATGCTCTGATGCGTAACAGAAATCAATAATATGTAATGTGAACAAAGTGTCAAGCCCGAAGTGTTTATTAGTGCAAATTGAAATTAGACGAAATTACAGATAAAAACAGAAGCGATAATGTCTCATTTATCCGCAGGGGAAAAATAAGAGCGTTAGGTTGCTAAAAGATAAAAGCGTTTTAGCACACTCACTGTGTACAAAAAGAGGGATTTGATTTGAAAGTAAGTGAGGTATGTTAGCAAATAACAAGGCTGGTAAATGGAACTTACGAGCTGATATTAGTTTAAAAAAATACCTGGAGCGCTTTGATCCATACAGACGTATGGGGGCCAACAACAATTACATTATACTTATACTGCATAATTTGAATTTGTTAAAGTATTCGACTTTGTTTCTTGATACTGGTCCCGACAGGTGTCTTTGTACCCAATCTGAGTGACACATGAATAGTTTGTATGCCTTTCTACATTCCATAGTAACCGCAAGAGTCACGGGGTCTGAGTGCGGCGATAAAACTATTTCATTCATAAAAATGCGGTTACAAGGTAGTAAGTTTGATTTTCAACTTAAATAAGAACCGTTATTTGGCGCGCTGTAAGTTTTTCTGCTGTATGAAAGACTACCTTTGAGCTGGAAGTAAATAAGACAGCCAACGCAACGCAAAACTAGTGATATGAGACGAGGTGTAAAGAGTGGCACACGAGGAGATTTTAAACCTGACACATCACGGTAAAATGTTTGAATATTTACTCGTTAATTTATCTGTACGTTTTACACGCCATTATAATCTATTCAATTCAGCTTCTACTGTCAGTTTTTGTGTTAAACAATGGGAATATAAATCCACGTAATGCCAGTTTTAAGTTCTAGTTAAAAATACATAAGCCTCTTCTAGCCCTAGGAACTCCCCGGACTTCCGAATACAGTCAACTGCACAATGAATTACGGTAGGGGTTAAATATCAAGTTCTTATTAGGAAAGGGGACCTTCCGTTTGTTTCGCGATTATTCACAATCTGCTTAACTAGAACCATTCATCAATGATATAGGAAAGACAATTTGAGTCAATAATCGCCAATAACGAAAATGCACAAAGAACGTGCGGTAATCAAGTGCATATGGAGATGAGTCATTATAATATCTTCCGCAACAGGAACTAGTTCCATCGTAATAATAATGCGTTTCCTTTTTGTAATGCGTGTCTAATGCTATCATAAGCCGTTTTTCAAAGTAACATATATATTAATTCCAGGTTACCTTACCTGTTGCGCCTTAACATGACGAGAAGTCCTTTTGTGTGCTTCGGTTTCCTATGCATTTCAGGTCAAGCGGAGGAATATGAGGTTATTCACGTTAAGGAGTGGTATATAATAAAACCCCACGTGAGTGACACATTTTTGTTCATTGAGGAAACCGCAGTGGTTTGGCTAAGATCCTCAAACACACAACATTAAACCTGGATGATTGAAGTACCATTTTCTCGTTCTAATTCCTGTTTTTCAATGCATTTACCTATAGATCTGAATGGAACCCAGTTCCCACAGTCGCCATACAACGGCATGAGTGACATTCTGACTGGGGAACGGACGCTCAGCGCCGTCCTAAGCGAGCACCCGGGGGAACTTGTACGGACTGGCAGTCCAAACTTCGTCTGCTCAGTCCTTCCGTCACACTGGCGATCCAACAAGACTCTGCCAGTGGCCTTCAAGGTTGTGGCTTTGGGAGAAATCAAAGACGGGACCAAAGTGACTATTGCGGCTGGTAATGATGAGAATTATTCGTCGGAGTTGAGGAATGCTGTTGCTTACATGAAAAACCAAGTCGCCAAATTTAATGATCTCAGATTTGTGGGAAGAAGCGGTAGAGGTAAGAATAATATTTCAGTAGTATCATGTATTTATTTTGTAAATAGATGAAGGCTGACTTTATCGGCGATAATCGTATTACACGTATCCTGTAAAGTTTCATCATCGACTGGTAAGTGCAACTGAAAACGGGACGTCATTCAAAATGATATCATCTATATTCCAGTGTATCCTTGTGTATTTTGGTACGTGCGGTAAATCCCTGTGTGTTAACACGGCCTCTGTTGAAACTAAAACTACCATATCATGACAAGGAACAATGTTGTTGGCTGTTGATAATATTGTCACTGGCGGAAGAGAAACGGCACTTGATTACGACATGTTCGGTCATCTAACCACTCGTGTTTACAAAGTCAACACTACAAGACCGCACCTTTTAGGGTCCGCCCTTTGATCTCTGCGTCCTTGTATGTGTCATTCAACAGGTGTGTTATCATGTTTGGATAAAGTCACGTCAGTTATATAATAATAAAAAAAACATCACTTTTTCAGTAAACCGTGGGTATATTTTTTCACAATTGGAAGTTTGGGATGGGATATTATTGAGAAATACCTCCTGTCTATTTCAGACTGAAGAGGTCAATATGTCAACCCTCCTTGTTCATCTATGATTATTGTAAATTAAAATTATATTTAAAACTATTTAACTTGTTATCAGGGAAATTTAATCAGATATATTTCATAAACAATTGACTTGTCAGTTTTATCAGGATAGATCTAGTTTCTGTAAAGAGATCATGTAGAGTAGGCACGTATAGTTCATGACATTCTTGTCACATAAATTCTTTCATCGTCTCATTGTTTTTAACTTGTTTGTAGGTATTTAAGTGTTGTTTTCTAGTTGTCATGCTAGCTGCCGTGGCTAGGGACTGTTGAACGCTACAGTAATTACCCCTCCTTAAGGAGTGCTCTCACGCTGCAGTTCTTTAGTTGAAAGATGGGCGCTTAGATAACTGCATTAGTCATTAAAAAATAATTCTGTTCATACAATAAAACCAATACAGTATGCACATGTGAAAATTTTCACAAACAATCTGGGGACTAAAGATAAGCTGAAGGGAAGGTCTGATAAGTTCCTAAGTGATCTCTAAACTGCAAATGTTATCTTTTTGTGCATATGATGAAAAAATCTACGGACAGTAAATGTACATTAGCCGAATGAGGAAACGTCTATTTTTTGCTGTTGTTCTGCATGTCAAGGGATAATTAGAAGAGAAAGCTGAAGTAGACCAGGAAATGTTTTAACAGCATTACCATATACAAGCCATGACTAACCGAAGAGCTCATTCTTTACCTTACAGCCTTGGATGTTAGAGTTGTCCTATGAATCATGTCTCTCACATCACTCAGAAATCAAATTTTCCCCAGATACTGTAGGTTTACATTGCCAATTAGCAATCTGCCATCTCGTAGATTGTCATGTGAAACATCTTATCACTGGAGTTTGTCTTCAGGGGCTTCTTTTCAACTCCTCAGTTTAGCAGAAGATTAAGAAAGGCTACTTGCAGGCGAAATCAATGAAAAAAACAAAAAAAACAACTGAAGCAAATGCTTTCCTTTCTATTCTACAAAATTTGGCTTGGAAAACAAATTGAAAAAAATGTTTGAAAACAAATGATTTTAGTATATCATAATTAACCTGTAACTGATTTATGAATGGCATAAGGAGTTCATAGAAATCACATGGGTATTTTACCATCTGTATTGTATTATGAAATGATGGGATATGGCAGTTCAAAATAAACAATCTGTTACAATGTGCTACCTGCACTTGCTATAATAACCCAGTGCCTGTTGATACATTGTTTATTTTGCCTTTAGACCCACCACATACAAAAAATGCCAGCAATCAACAAACCACAATGATAATAATTGTTTGAAAATTGTGTCAGGGAAATAGACAGATACCTGGTTTTCAATCCCATTATTGGGAGGAACTTCCTTCTGAGCTTGTGGTGCTTTATCAGGTGAAATAACATCAGCACCTGGGCTGATCTTTTGTTAGTGTTTGTACTGATTAAATATTGAGAAAAAAAGAAAGAAATGGGCTCATGTGTGCTGTTGGCATGGGCCACTCTGTTGAAAAACTAGAAGGGAATACCATGTTTTGTTTATATAGTTTTCATGATTCATTTTGTTCACTTCATTTTCCCCATCTTTATCATGTCCCTTTTTTTCTCTCTCTCTCTCAAGCTTAATATAATTTAGTTTTGTAAATACATTTGTTTAAGTTTTTATAAAAGGTCTTTGCAAATGTTGTCATGAATAAAAGCTACTGTTTTTTATGAATAAAATACCATTTCTAACTTTTCCAGGCAAGAGCTTTAACCTGACCATAACAGTAAGCTCCAACCCCCCACAAATTGCTACCTACCAGAAGGCGATCAAAGTCACAGTTGATGGTCCAAGAGAGCCAAGAAGCAAGACAAGTGAGTAGTAACAATAAGCTTCTGTTATTTACTGTTCACAAAGACCATGGAAATGTTGACACTTTTAGCCAGCAGATCATCTGTGCTGGCTGAGGAAATTAAATGTTTTGATATGCAGTGATATGTGTGGTGAAGGGGAAGGAGAAGAAGAAATGAAAATATTATATTTCAGTTAGTGGTAACACAAAGAAAAGTAATTGATAATAATAATGGTTCAATGTAGGTGATTTCAAAGGAAATTGAGGCTTAATGTGGAAAAGATATCGCAGAAGTTTTGACAAAAGGTATTTCAACACCATAGCAACTGGTAGCTACATAGCCACATTTGAAGAATAAATTAACTGTTGATTAGCCCTCATCAGTTTTTGAAACCCAACCAGGAAGCTGCCATTCATTTTTAAATATCAATCCGGCAATACAGAAGCAATATATTGTCACAAGTCTCAGGGATAAGATTATGCCTTGTAAAAAGCTTATTGTAGGGATGCTGGTAGTTTGCAGAACTCAAATTGCATATGGTGCTTCTGCTCATTATGACCTCAACCATAGAAATGATGCCTAATAAGAAAGGGAGTCAGTAGGGGAAACATTTATAGAGAAGGTGCAAATGTATAAATTGATTGGCAGGCCCGATCTCCGTCCATTCAAACAGCAGCAATATATATTAATAATATCAGTGTTTGACAGTTGTAGAACTGTGCACCTCATAAAAAAGGTAATTGCTGGGTTCTGAGTAATACATGTTTTCCTGCCTGGTGGCAGTTCAGTTTCCAGAAACTGTGATTAATACAACATCTGGCTATAGGGCAAACTTCCCAGAATTGCCATGAAGATTGTTGAATTAGTTGAATTAGTACAAGAGGTGACTCACAGGATCCCAAGGCCAATCGGTTTTACCTGTTGGGCACTTTTGTGTTATGCATGTAGTTTTGTTTTCTATAATTCTTAAATAAAGTTATTGGGGCGCAGATATTATTGGGATTACCTCCTAATCATGCATTTATGCTCATACGTAAATTACTGCACGTCTCAATTTCCATTATTTACTGCAAATGTATGACTATTAACATATATGTTATCTGCCACTATATTGGCATCTCCATACTTCCCCAGGAACCATAATCAGAATGACTATACAGCTGTGAAAAAATAATCAGCAGATAGAGACAACCTGAATGGCAATTTAGCTATTTTTTATTATTCTGTCAGGTGTCTCTAAGTTTAGCTACCTGTTTAGTACAGTTCTGGTACCACAGATGTTTTATTCTGCCAGAAGCCTCTTATTAATGCGTCGTAATTGTTTTGCAGTGGTGTTAACCCACATTTAAAGTATGATAGGTAATTCCCAGTAAAAGCTGAAAACTCCAGAGGCCCAGCAATATGGAGGGGGTTGTGTTTAAAAGCTCTCGGTCTTCACCCACCTGAAAAATATCACAGATGTTTGATTCCAGATCAATGTGCTGTGATTGTAGTGGCTTGGTTGGGGTCATTAGTGGTGAATTGTGTTAATAGTGTGGCCTTGGGTCTTGTGGTAAGAAGCCAGTGGTCAGAAGCCAGTAAAACAATCCCCAATAAAGACACATAGTCAACCACAATCGATTAAAATAGAATGAACTACTGAAAATGGAGAGGATTATATAGACATCATCTGCTACTATGGCTTAGTCTCAAATGGGGTTTTCTGTGCTTTATTGAAAATTGGTGTGTGATGAATCAAAGCAAAGATGTGATGGGAGGGATGAAGTATATTCAGTTTATTAACTCTATGACGTAGTTTCCCAAATCATCCCAATCCTCAGTTATTACAGGCAGGGTGATATTCAGAATTATGGGCATTATCTACAAAGTCCAGGAGGCTTGTGTGAGGAAATTCTCAGCAAGAACATTATGGTATTTGTATGATGTCATTAAGTACATGAACGTGCGGCACTTGTTAATCACGAAGGTCAAGTGAGGGTAAGCAGTGGAAAAACACCTCAGAAGTTTCTGAACCATTAAGTTGGCAGAAAATGTGCACCTTCAAATGCATTTCATTGGGAGAGTCGTTTGCTCAGGCATCACGATGGCAGTTTGTGCTATTAGCTGTAGTGATATTATTTATGTTCTAGCAACAATCGCACTCATTCACTGGGGATTAGCAGTGACACCTAGGGATGCCGGTTCCTTCCATCGCTTTCATCGGCACTGACTGGAAAGTACACACCGGGTTAATTGGTAGTAATTGGGAGGCTAGTTTTTTTATGGCTTATTAGATGGACACCAAATAGATTTTCTAATGGGCATTATTCATTCAAAGGAAGAGGTAACCTCCCCCTGCGAGCAGATAACATGAAAAACAATCTTGAGACAGTGGAATATATTTATCTTTTCAGTTTTTATTATCATAATTGAATAAATATGCACATGTGGTAAATTAGAAGCATTATGGCAGGTTAAATGAAAATAATGGAGAAGGATGACAGCAGGCAAGCATTTAACACAATGTAGATGTACTTTACAAAACACTCCCTTTCCTTAAGCACGGGCATGATATGCTTAAATATGCACTCATAAAGTTGAAAGAGTATTTGGTACAATTTCCCAAACTGCACTTGAAAAGCATTTCCATTCATTCACTGAGAACATGTTGTGCTTTGCCTAGCCAAGCCTGTTAAGTTCAACAGGGATATTAGACAAGCGTTTCAACAAACAGGGAAAAGCAATCAATCTGTCGTAGTACTAGAGATGTCTTCTGATCTATTGAAAGTACTGAGTGATAGGTAATTTGAGAAGCGAGTCCTTTATTCATTTCTAACTCTTAGTACCCTTTTTTCCCCTTGGGGTTATGTTGTTCTGTATGTTAAAATGGGTTATGTGAGATGGAGATTAATCCTGGGTGTTGGACTTGTACTTAGAGCCCCCCCTGGTATCACACCTTAATTCCATTGAGTCGACAGGTAACTGTTATTGTCTTTCACATACCATACATGGTTGACTCGCTGCTCACCTGGCGACTGGGCCAGAAAGTAGAGCAACTGTAGACAAATAAGAGGAAGTCGGCGGGGGTATAACAGATAATATTCAAATTATATTTCAACACTGACATTAATTGTTCTATTAGTCAGGGCTGATAAAGTGGCTAGCTGGCTCTGACAAGCAAGTAATATTGGAGAATATAGCCTGTAGCACCAGCGGTTTGATTGATGAAGTATTATAGCTTAATGAAGAGTTTTTGGTCAGTTTGGCTAGTGGTTAACCAATAATTAGGTCAAATGTCAATTAATTAAGTGTGCCACAGGTATTTATTTGACCATTCCGATCATTAATTATGCAGTAATTAAAAGTCAATATCTACTGTACAGTAAACCAGTAAGGCAAGAAGAGAAATAATGAGAGTTGTTAATTACTCAGCTATTTGAGCCTCTCACATTTTTCTTTGATGTCTCTTTGAAGCTGAGGACGTAGGCGAGACCTTCATTATATCATAAATAGTCCACAATGGTGGTATATATCAAAGACATTTTAAGTGTGATGTTTTTCAATCTTACATGTTTATTATTTTTACATCTGCACCTATTGAAATTCCAATGCGCAAAGACCGTTTCAAATAATGAATTTCAATAATGCAATATAGTTTACAACAGATGGATCAAAACGGAGCTTTTCGTTTGAGGGATCTGAAACTGCCGCAAAGCTTTTAGCTTGTTATGACTCCTTCAAAAGTAAAAAAATAAGCTGCAAGAAAATATTTCATTTATGTGTTGAATAATAGATTTAATTATTAAACAGCAAAAAGTGGACAGTCATCTTGAAAAGAAGAGGAAAAAAGGGCAGAAATTCTGAGTTTGTATGTTTTTCAGCTGTTTACATATGATTGTAAACATTAAAAACAGAAACTCATATCTATATCTGCTTAGATTTAGATCCTAGTTTTATAACTTAACTGACTTCCATTTCTAATAATGTTTCTGATCATCTTCCATTTATCGTGTGATAATCACCTCACAAATGTGCCTGAGCTTTTGTTTTGTAAGGGAGTGAAAATGTATCCCCATTAGGTGAACCACCCACCTGCCATGAAAATTATTGGAACTATAATCACTCGACTTCAAGGAAGCCTATGCAAAATCCAACAATTCCCACCTACTCGTGACTGTAACATGCTCGGTTTAACCTTCTGCTGTATTGTGTAGGCTTATGAGAGTAAACCCACACAAATCCTGATAAGGTTGCATATGTGTGCTGAAAACTGATGTGCTTACTAATAAACATGGAGCTACTAGACAAACAGGTACATAACTATTAGCAAAAATGACAGATTTGTAAGGACATAGTATTGAAATTATACCACAGAACAACAGCATGTTTTTTTTTGTGTGTTTGTGGGTGCCTGAAGCAGCCTGCAACATGTTAACCATCACATGGTGTATCATCCAGTATATTTATACTAATTACAGGGAAGTATATCTGATAATTACAGATTGTGACAAAATTATATCCCACTTAAAGATATAATTAATAATTGAAACTTATAGTCCTGCCTAGGTAAATGTAATGGTTACACCACAAATGATGGTTGTGATGGTTGGAAATGGAAAGTTGGGTATGCCAAGGGATTTCTTGATTACTAAATTAGATCATAGTCATATTATTTTTTACTAATGCCTTTATTATCTGTGAAGTATTTTATCTGCCTTATGGAAAATATGTTCTTGAATATATCCTCTTTACTCACATTTCTAAAGAAAATCAACTATTTGCCTAAAATATTTCTGAACAAGGTACATCAGTCCTTGAATAATTGATTGTAATTGAATTGAGCTAGCAACAATTTTTATCTGATGTTTGTGATGAATCCAATGTGATTTTTTTTCAAGCTTATCACAGAATTTAGTAAAGTGGCAATTTCTCACAAAATTCAAATGACGCATTTATTTTGATGATTTATCCACAAAATATCCCTTTGTAAGAAATTTCTACTTTCTTTTCTTAAGTTTTGAATCATATTTTATTGTATCATAAACAAAACTGCTTTGGGAATATGATTATTTGGTTTTGTTTAGTTTGGTTAAGTAATTTCAGTATCATCATTTGCTCTCACATCAGTTGACCTGTGCCATTCTGCCCACAATAATATAAAATTTCCCTGACAGTCCATTTACACATGAAAGGTGGAAATAAAAAGGTTCATATCAAAGTTTACCTTTGACTTTCAACATAATTGCCAACATGAACTTATTTTTTGCCATACCGGATTGTAATGAAGTATAATACTGAAGTGAACTCTTTTTTTTTGTCCTGGGGATTCTGATAAAGCATAATTTGTTCTAAATGGTTTTTGACTCAACAATGGTGTCACGTAGGCAGAAATGGTGGGATAGCGTGTAGGAGAACGTGGCACTGCAGTGTGATTATCCAAGTAATACATGTGTAGTTAATATCTCCGGTGGCACAGAGGAGGCTGAAGGTAGAAATTTGATAGGGATATTATCGATGACTTTTCCATGTAACAGGACCTTCAATGCACCTTTGATTTTATAGTAAAATTGTCCATCAATCGTGGAAGGTGGTTTTAATACTATCTCTCTGTATGTGTAACTGCAAGGTGTGGGATAATAGAGGAAATATAATGGCATCAGTGATTGATTTATCTAATATTTATACTTAACATGATTAGATCTTCCTACACTGTCATAAATAAAGGAGAAGTGTTGACTTCCTTTCTATTGAAGAGGAAGTACATTTATCGTCAAAAGTTCACCACAGAAAAACAATATTAATATTGTTATTGTGTGTTGAAATCCATTGGCCACTGTCGGGAAGGAGAGTATTCATAAATTATTTAATGACTAATTATAAATAGTTTTTGAACAACAAGTTTTAGAACCAATTAAAAAGAAATATGAAAAAAAATGGACAACTAACAACTGCATTTAAAATTTTAAAAGTCACTTATCAACACAATCTGGGACTGATGTCTTTTAGTGAGTTGCTGACTAAAATTTTTATGGAGTCTTCACTTTTTCCTCTCTTTCTCTATCATAAATATCATTTAATGTGGATGAGAGGTGTCATGCTACCAAAGCACATGAACTACATGAAAAAAGTACATCATCTGTTGCTCAGTATGAAATATTATGCATCAGCGCTCAGCTTCCGCCAATGCAGGTAATATATTGTTGACTGTCATTGTTATCCCCATAGATCAGGGTGATTCAGTGAGTTCCAGCTTGTTTTTTAAAATTGGTATTTCCCGTTGTACTTCACTTGTTGCCATATTCTCTTTCAAATAGCTCAGCATGTCAGAAACTGTGTCCTTGGTTTTAGTATTAAAAAAAAAAGCTATCAAGCAGTTGAGTTCCCCTTAAACTGCACTTGTAGGAATTGTACAAGCCAAAACCACAAATGTTTAAGCTTTCAATTGTTCCAGTCTGTCCATGAAGAGGGCCTGAAGGATCGAGTACACACTTTCATTGATGCCCCAGACCACCATATTGTTGTCATTTGTCCAGATTTGAGGGTAAACTGAAACAATGGAGGCTGTTCCAGGGGTACATGGCTGTATTTTACATTGAGATTAAGTAATGTTTGGCCTTTTGTAGCCCCTTGTGGTAAAGATAACAAGACGGCTCCCATCCCTGGCCTGTCATCGGCAGATTATGAATCATGACTCGACTGTCAATTATTAGAGCAAGGTGTACTGAGTTACCTGCTCCAGTGCTTGGATGAGAGGGGATATTATTCTTAATGGCACTGTTTTGATGAAAATTTTAGCATAAACAAGTTTTGGAGAGCATCAGTCCTATAAATCATGCGCTTTTGACCTCGGTCATTTAATTTTGCCCACTATATCGAGGTAAAACTCATGTTTTTTTCTTTTGTGAAAGATCCCTTTTAAAGGCGATAAAGACGTTCTACGGGCATTCAGTGACAGATACAAATCAGTTAAGATGCCATTAAATTTATTCAAATTGTTATTAATGTGACCTGGATTTGCAGCTAGATTGATGTGTGATATGGTTATATACCACACCTGTGCATGTTCTTTACCTGTGACCCAGACGGCAGAGAAAAAAGAAAATTTTATCTCATATTTATGTAAAAAAAGTCACCTGAAAAATTTGTTTCTGACACGTTACATTTTATGTCATGCTAAGGTTGGTGAAAAAATACTAAGCAGGAGGGGAAAAAAGCATTTCCTTATTCATTTGAGTAAGAATGTCTTTAATTTGAAGAATGGGCTTTGCTTGAAAGCAGGGGAAACTTATTGAAGTCATTTAATTGCATTCTTTAAATTTTCGCTTGTTTGTCTATTTTTTAAAGTGCATAAGTTAAATTAATAGACCTTTAAAATTCTCCAGTAGACAAGTTCAATAGAAATGACTATACAAAAGGAATGTCAGAACTTCTATACAGCTGCAATTTAATTGTCATTCTTTGTTTATCACCTGTAAAATTATGCACAGTTATTTATTTCCCTGTAAAGGACATTTTTTTTCATGGTCATCCTTTTAATTTTAAGTAGAACATACAATTGATGGATATTGCTTTTCTTTTTTCCTTTGAATTTCATAGTCTTGTAAAAGTGGTCCTTTCTTTATCTTTTTAGAATTACGCACAGATGACCGTCGCATTCACCAGCATCACCACCACCATGGTCTGCGTCCTCCACCCCCCCTGAATCCACCAATGGAGAGAATTCTTACAGACCCTCTCTCAGATCATGCATTCTCCTCACATCTAGCGGAGTTGGACCAGCTGAGGCGCAGCACGCATTCTGTAGACAGTGGACTAGGCCGACTTAGCGATGGTGTGTATATTGCAGTTTCCATACAAATAGGAGAGAAAAATTACCCCATTTGTTTGTGTCTCTTTAAGTGATTATGACGGTTCAAACTTGCCAACTTTTTAGTTGGTAATGACGAACATGTGCCCCCGCTACTTACAAAGAAAAATTACATCATTTGATCAGAAGTCTTTATGATAGGCAGTTGCCAGCTTCTGCAGTTTTTTTTTTTTTTTTTTGGTCAAGTTTGTTATGCAAAACATTATTTTTTCAAGACTAACTATGGTAAAATGATGTGTTAAATGCCATCTATTTGATTTCAAGCAATATTTTTAAAGCTTGGCCATAGCAAACAATTGTGTGATATACATGTATGTAATTCAGAAAATACCATAAAAGGGATTTGCTAGTTACAGAGAACTTCTATAATTTGAACCAATCCCTCTTTCCTTGAATGTTGTACCTACAAAGAATTTAAAATTAGACATGCACATTAAGAAATTGCAGTACGTCAAGACGTAGATATATTATATGACTTAGGCAGGAAGTTTTAATGACCACTAAAAACTGAATGGATTTACTGAGAAATATATGGCATTTATCTTGAGTGACACTTAATCCTTAATGATGGCTATTTCTCAGATTTGGAGGCATGCATCGAAATTTAGTGTGAAATAGGAAAGAATAGCAGATTAATCATCAGAGTAAGCCACAATCTTAAGTCTATGTAAATAGTGTAGTGAACAAATGTGCCATATTTCATTATAATACTATTTAAGGCCAGTACAAAATATCTTTTCTGAAAAGACTTAATGAAATATTTGAAATGATTTCACCAGTATTAAATGTTATTTTTAACATTATTTTCTTTCTTTTGTTTTCTCTCTAGATATAAACTTACAAAACCAAGTTACACACAGTCAGTGGGGTAATGGATACCAGACCCCTTCCTATTCCAGAATACCCCCAGGCCAGGGAGGCCAAGTCCCCCACTCTCTCCCTGCCCCGGACACAGTCATGGGCTCACAAGGTAAGGATTACAACCCAGTGGTCTGACTGTATCCATCTATTAAATTTTTATAGACCCAATCTTTGAATTTCCAATCACTGAAACCATTTGACTGATTGATAACAGAACAATGACATATGGTGTATTGTATACTCAAATGAGAACCTTGTACTTCCATTTGAAGAAAAACCTACAAGATTTTCATAAATCACAGATAAAGTTATGCATTTTTAGATTTTAAAAATATTTAAAAATCATTTGTTATGTTACTAACCATTCATCTTTTTTATTATTATTATTATTATTATTTATTTATTTTTTTTAATTTTTAGGTCTGCCAACAGACACCCCAATTTCAGAATCTCGATTTCCCATGTTACCAGTTAGTGGCATTGACAATATGCCTCCTCGCCATGAAAACCAGACAGCTATGGACCATCAACCTACACTCACATTACTGGACAGCAATAGAGATAACAGACAGAGTGGTGGATCCCTGCCCCCAAACAGCAGTATGAACCCAAGACATGCTCTAGATTCAGTAATATTGCCCAAGTATCCAGAGCTTCGCCTACCAGAACCACGTTTTCCAGAGTCCTCAAGATCCATGTACGCAGCGGGAGGTGATACTGGCAGTATATCAAATTATCGCAAACCACCCACATCATCGAATATGTCCATATTGGAGGAAAGTCGCACAATAACAACTTTGCATTTGCCGCAAGTTTCACACAGTAACTATCCCATAATATCTCCTGGATTACTGGGCTCCAGCAGCCCTCCTAGTCACTCCTTTCTGAGCTCACCACCGCCATCAGTGTTGCCATCTTCCTTCTTGTATCCACATCTGTACACATCGCAGGCGTCACAGTATCAGTCCAACTTGCTCAGTTTAGCAGGCGGTGATCTTCGTTCATATGATCTGCTAGGTCAGAGAAGTGATGCCCAGCTTGACCAAGGGTTGAGATCGGGACTAGCATCGCTGCCATCAACGACCATGGCACCATTAGAAGGAAAGGGTGCTCAGCCATTGCAGCCATTGCCACCTGATCATAACCACCCAGATGGAGACCCTAGCTCAGTATGGCGTCCATACTGACTATATGGACTGGATGGAACTGATGAACGATTTTGGTAAAATTAGGGACACTATATGTGCTCATTTGTAAGCCATGTGACTGTCAGTAGGCAGCTTGTACTGGAAGCTTGGCTGCCTCATAAGGCAGAGACACTTTAGGGCAGACAGCACTATGAGGATAGTGACATAGAAAACCCTAGCAGAATTTATATACATGGGGTTTATACATAATATTTGATTTGAACCAGTATTGTATACAAGAGAAAGACAGAAAGAGAGTGAGAGAGAGAGAGAGAGAAAGGAGGGTGTAAAGCACTGCATTTACAAGTATGAATCTTTATTATCATTATTATTCACTCTGACTTGTCACTGGTGTTACTGTGGTGCCGTACCCAGTGTGTTTGTGCTTTATTTATTGAACTCAAGTGTGCACACAGGACCATTTCTCATGTCTCTGAAAACTAAAGCCATTTACCAAAGTATAGTGCCTTGTGTCGTGAAAATATTTCTCTTTGCAGTGTACCCGTTCATGATCTCATGTTTTCTATGTTTGCTTTGTTTATGTGTATGACCTTTAAGTTAATGATTAAGGATGTAAAAGGATGTTTGTATGTAGACACATATGAGGATAAACTCGAATACTCTCTTTACTTTTGAGACTAGTCATTACCTTGGCAGTGAGCCAGATTTGGTTGAAACTGAAAACATGTATATTAGTGGAGGGTTATTTAATGCATGAAATACAGAAGGATTTACTTTAACAATGTGGATTTTTTTTCATTTTCTCTTTATTTGTATTATAAATATAGTAAGTATCATGTGCAGGTGAAACTGGGTGTTGTGATGGAAATTTAAACTTACATTCATGTAACAGCACAATCTGTTGTTTTGTAAGTATAATGTCAACACATACAACTATTTAGACTTTGAGTGGCAGACATTTTCAACTTTCCATCTAATATATATACATATATATATATATATATATATACATGTGTGTGTATACCACATACTTAAGTCACTGTTTCTGAATGAGGATCAACATGACAATGCAAAACATATACAAACATCTTCACTTTTGGTGGAGTCATTCCAGAGCTCAGTCTTTAGTAATGCATGTATTATCCTTTTACCCATTAAGGATGTAGAAACAGATGTCTTAATATTTGCTTCAGTATATCTGAGTAGTCGCTTTCCGACAGAAATCAAAAGTAAAATGTATGAGGAGACAGAGAAAAAGTGGTTTTGGCTGTTCTCGCTAAAGTGATGTCAATTTGTGAAGAATGTTTTTTATATATATATAAGGGGTTTGTTTGTTCTCAAAGAACAGAAGAGATTTTTAATGTATAAGATTTTGATAGAAGTTAAGAAAAGAAAAGCACAGGAGGGGGCTATAATGGTGCTGGAATTACTTCATTCCTTCTCTGTGTTGTGCAACGTCTTAACAGGGTTCCCACTTTTGGTACATTTTGTGAATTTTTTTTTAAAGAAATATTTACGTGTCAATAAATGGTGAAATTGTATATTAACTTTCTTAAGCATCAGGCATTTGAGTATATAATATGCAGCTATTGAAAACTTGCACCACATGGTTGAAAAAGCAAATTTTTTGCTGTAGCTTTGTAATGATAAGTAAGATAATTTTTTTTTTCTACAGAGGGCTTGTCAAGGTAAGAATTATTTTGGTATTGAAAGTCTTTGTGCAGAGCACAACAGATTAGAGACAGACTGTTTCTTACTGCTGGTCAGTGAGCATATCTGAAAGCTAGTCAGAGACTGGTCAGTGTAGAGTGGACAATGGTCAAGCTTATCCAGCATCTTTTGTTATATGGATATTTCCACTTTCATTCAAGAGCCAAATGTTGGTATAGTCAGAATGTTAAATTTGTATGTATAGGAGTTGCAGTTTTACATTTTGGAGATAGATACTTTCTGGGCTTTTCCTTAAGTGCAGGTTTTCAATAGCCACTGATGCCTAAATTTGCTATGCAATGTAGTCTGCATCATATAGTCTGCTTTAGTGAGAGAGTCTTTACTTATTATTTACAAGCTAGTGTTATAGTCTGTATTCTACCAGTGGAATCAAACATTTTTAAATAAACCATGTGTAACATGTAACAACTGTTGGTCTTATATGTGTAATAATGTAAGGCATATGCATTTCATTTGAACTATATGTGTAATAATGTAAGGCATATGCATTTCATTTGAACTTGATTTTAAAGAAATTTTAAACAGGGTACTTCAAAAAAAATGTCAAATACTTAACAAAATATAATTTTATATTAAAATTCTGAGAGACTCCCTTTCTACAACAGCCATAAAGAAAAAATTCAATTTTACAATTCCTGAAAATCCCACAGAAAATTTGACGAAGTTTTATTTTCTGCATCCCCTATTTCAACCAAAAATATCGAGTTAAGACCATTTACACTGTTCTCAAGAGACGAGAGTGTGATTTAAGATCCATGTTGAGTATTGAAATTCTCTCTCACTAGCTTCAAACGTGGTGATCTTTCCAAAATGTTCATTTTTAAAAAAGTACATATTTTTTTCTTCCCCCATGGATATGCCACAGCCTAACCACTGCAGCACTTGTGGTTGTGCCTCAGCTGCTTTGTAGGCTCTTTGAAACTGTTAAAAACCAATCAATTCGCCGTAAACACTAATTTAGGCATGCACTTATACAGAACCACTGACAGAATCTTATTAAGTTTGGGTGGTTTTCTTAACAAAAATTTTTGCAAATTAAATTTTCTAAGAAGCTTAATTTTGCTTCAATAAAAGGTTTATAAGTTTATCGCCCATAAGAGCTTGTGAAATTTGGTTTCATACAACCAATAGATATGTAACTGAATAACAGTTGTGACACAAATTGCACACAAAAAAGGAAAATTATAATAAAAATCATTAAATGACCCAAATGCAAAAATACAAAGTATCATATCCTTGTTTATCACAACATTTAATTTCCAACAAGCAAAACAAAATGATTACAATATTATGTTTAAGTAAACATTTTGATCCCTCTTGTGATACTTTAAAAGCATAAAAACAAAACCATAATACAAAAAGAAATAAATTTTTTTCATGTTGAAACAAAATTCAAGAATATAAACAAGCTGTTGAGACGCCCACAGTCACGTACACACAAATTAACTGATAACAAATATTATACCACACAACTGGAAATCCCCACTCTTTCCTGTTATGTAAGATGAAACTGAATTTAAACCAAAAAAAACCCCAAAACTTGCCTCCTTATGGTGTAAAGAAAAAAATCAATACCCATTCCAAGGATAAATTATACATGTACATTGGAGCCCCATATCAAATGCCTTCAGTTTGGCAACAAATTAAATCTGAAGCCAGAATGTGTAGGATGTGTTTAGTTATAAACATGGGTATCTTACATGGCAGGTAAATACAAATACAAAAATAAAGTGAAGTTTGAATCTAGAACCCAGTAAATGTACATGTAGGTTCTTATTTAAATAGAGAGCCTAGACACTGTTTGTTCATTGCATTAAGATAGCAAAGACACCCCAAAAACATTCAATTAAATAGTTTACAGTAACAGTAACACTTAACAGTAATCATGACTATAACATTTCTTCACAGTAATGGTAAATTGTCATTTTTTGGGCCAAAACTGTTTATGTCTAATTTTTCATGAAATTAAAAAATATAGGTAGATTTCTCCTGCCTTCTATCCCAAAACAAATTGTTTACGCTTTCCGATTCTGTTACTTTTTAAAACTGCTCCACAAAAGGAGAACATGTCTTGGCTTTCCTTTTCATAAGTTGTTTTTCTTTATGCTTAGATATAAACATACCTCTCACCTACTGTATCAAATAGCCTCTAATAAAATTCCCATTTATATAATACTGTTTGTTAAGCAACTGAATACACAAGTGCTGAATGTTTTGGAGACCATGCTCTGATTGTCAAAGCAGTGAACATGTAACCCAAAAAAACATGTCACACTTTCACAGTCCTTAAAACATTATAGTCTGTAATATGACTGAGTTTATTATGTTCCTCAAAGGAACTGAAGCCTCACACAGTACAATTATACACGCTTGCCAAACATACTTGTTTACTCATATTCCATAATATTTTTAAGAAGCACATTTCTCAACATTTTCTAGATTTACCTTATTGCTAACAACACGTTTAACGGTAGATCTATGTATTTTGTCAGCATTACTGATTACACAGTTAAACTCTATCCAACATGCTAATTTTTATCTCTGCCCTTGAAAAGCACTCATATGATACCCATCAAGTTACCTCTGATGTACAGTAAAAGCTGAAATGCATTATTTTGTTCATGCTAAACTGGAGTTACAGAGAATTAATCCATAATGCATTACCCTAACAAACCAAAAACGAATAAATAAAAATGAGAAAAAAATAAAAATGCCAATATTTGTACTGTGGTTAAGTGTTTCACTTTCTTGAAGCTAGTTTTTGCCATGTCTAAGCTCTTATTTGCTACCAATCAAGTTCCTTTGATGTGCTTAAAGTAGTAACACTATTTGATTTTTTTTTTTTTGCTTCTAATTATGTGGCTTTTATGCACATTCATGTGTTAACCAGTAATGTTTCCATTTCTTAAAAATAACTGAAGATATTTATCCCTCTATACCAGAGTCACCAATTCAAAGTTGTCCTCAAATGTAATAGCATATTTCTTCTTTTAAGTTCATTTTGCATCATGGCCACTCCATCCATTCATGTGTCCTACCTTGTGAAGCCACTTGGCTATTGCATCTTTCAACCTTTGGTTCTCCACATGGCAGATAAGCTGATTTATCCAGCTGAACACTACAGGCAAGAGGGCGTGGAAATCCTGGTCTGGCAACTGCAGTAGTAGATACAACACGGTACAGATCATCTCCGTCCAAGACTCCTTGTGAGCCTCAGCATCCTACCCAAAAGATAAACATTGTGCATTTAAACTTTTGAATGAATGGTCTGCATACTGTTTAAGTCTTGATTGTTATTTGAATGAAACCCCAGAATTTATAGGGGAACATTAAACACTGGATATCTTGTTAATACATATTTTGAACTCTTGTATTGCTCATTTTGTGGTTTTGGCAAAACATATTATCATGTTTTTTATTTCAGTTATTGTATAGCAATCCCTTACTTCAATACATTTTTATTCAGCGGAACAAAAAGGTACAATAATAAAAAGGTACAATAATAAAATAATAAAATCCTTTAGTTTTGAGGGCATCTTACTTTCATAACTGAAACATGCTGTTGTTTTTCAATTTCTGGATCCAAACCGTCTTTGGATTGTTTTTTCTTCTTTTTGTCCTTCTTCGTAAACTTGACAAAATTAGGCAAGGTCTTCTGTTGCTTTCTCTTTTTGTATGTGCTGATAACGGACTGAATGGTTACATCTGTGGCAACCTGATACACTTTATCCAAGTCCTTGTCTACATCAGGCCTGCCGTCTTGTTCAACAGCTTCCTTCTCCGCTTCTGCAGAATTTTCATGGGAATCTATTTAAAAATATTTAATTTGCACCTTTAACATAGAGGGACAAAAAAGTGAATTAATATTTCTAAATCCCTTAAAAACAATATACCATACAAAGAGACACTGCATTATCATAATGTCAAGATATGGGACTTCATGATGCTACCTGGTCAAATAATTAACCCCATAGGTACCAGTTAAAGCTGACCTATAAACTTCTGCTGGGCCCAATTAATTCTGTGAGCTAGCCTTGAAAAGTGGGGTCACCTCACTAAATTGGCCATAATTTATTTGTGTGCCTTTATTACCCATACAAAGTATACATTTTTAAAAAGCCAAGACTTCAAGCTAAAAGAAAATGGAATTACATTTAAATTTTACAAGCAGTAACAAGAGTTATGGTCGGTTAAAAACTACATTCTTATTTGGTAATGGGCGAAAGAAAAACAAAGTTGATTTATCTTATGCATAAATTTTTTTCCTCTACACATTTGCCATAAAATTCATAGAGATGATGCCAATTATGTTAACTTTCAATCCAGGAAATTTCAGCAAGTGACCTCCATTAGTTTCCAAGTTATGCACATTTTGCTATCAGGTATACTTGAGCCAGCTTTTCAGCTCACCTGAACATTGTTGGCCAGAACGCATTACTGACTTAAAAGTCAAATTTCAACACAATCTGTTTCAAAATACTACACAAAAAGAAGCACGTTTACTATTATTGTTAAAATATAATCAAATCCTCATCAAAGTCTCAGTTTTCAATAATTTCAATAACAGTATCCATTCGCAGGCCCCTACCAGAGTGAGGCGCCATTTTGATCTTACTTTATTTTTTTCTTCACCCCATAAAGGCCCAATTCCACACTCTGTCTCTCATTGTTGCCATTTTTAAAGGACGATATATATATTGCATTATTGTAGAGAGAAAACAGCAATTTTGTAGACTTAGTTGCAATTAGGCCTTTATGGGGTGAAGAAAAAAATAAATAACTACCAAATTTCCTGTTCAACATGCACGTTCCAATAAGATAAAAATATATAGCCAGGTATCCTAAGTTCAACAGGACTTACATCTTATTTATTTGTTTTTTTGCATTTGATGTTCGCCTCACAGTCACATGCTGACAAAACATTTCATTTATTGTTGATGTCATTTACTTCAAATAATCCACATATCAAAATTCACTTTCAGATCACTGAAAAAAAAAAGTGACAACAGATCCTCAGAGCCATCATATCACTGACACACTATCCAATTCCCATGTTGTTTGACTTTGTATGGATGAATCACATCAGATAAACAGAACTTTTTTTCATGCTTTTAACTCACTAATCACATTCTTATTCCCAAGGTATACAACCTACCTTGTATCTGTGCTACAGCAGTGGTCATGAAGCCGCCTACATCTTTCTGCTCTCGCTGCTTCAATTTCTCTGCCACAATTTCTGACAAGGCTTTTTCCCTTTTCAGTGAGGGCAACTCCTCAACTTGAGACACCAAGAAAAACAGGGGTCTATCTGAAATTCTATCTGCACTTGAAGTGCCTTCTTTATCTAAAACCAGCTCAATGTACTTTTGGCATATTCCTGCAAAGCTTTGGTGCAGTTTTCGAGTGAATAAATCAAAGTGATTGTCAATGGGTTCAGTTGCATTATTGTAACTGTCATATTCGTCTTCATGTTTTGAAGGTTCAAGTTTTTCATTACCAGCACCGGCATTTTCTGAGCTTTCATTGTTACACTGTTCAAATTCCAGGTGGCCTCGATTTTGCAGCTCAGTTGCTATTTTCTCTAGTGTAAGGTTCTCTTGGTGGAGGCATATTTCCAGGAGTGCGTGTACACAAAATGTCATGCTTGCCCCAGCAGACTTGTACAAATTCGAGGCTACAGATGAATTGATCACCTTCTGGATGAGAAATTTCAGCCCTGGCCTGGAGTTAAAATCACACGCAAACCTATATGATTCATCCAGGCACTTGAAAAGTACCAGAACATTCCTGGTGGACAGCTTTTGCAGCATACCTAAATCACAAAACATTTGAAGAGTTACACAACTTCATTTAACATGGGTGAGATAAAGAGGTTTATATGCCAAGCTTTTTCTGAAAACTTTCTGAAAATATCTTGAAAATGCCTTGGCAACACTAAATTATTCATCCAAATTAGCAAAAAGTGAATAATTTGTACAAGTAGTTAGTGAAATCTAGGTCCCAGCATGGTGAAATCATTACTCCTGGTCATAATGAGAATTTTAATGACATTCAATTACATAAGGTTAAAAATCATACTGCAAAGCAATTTTACTTTACAATCCCTGCATTTAGAAAGTCTCATCTGCAAAACAGGCAATACTGGTGCTTACGTTTAAAGAAGCAATTTTATGAATTACAAAATACCCCTAGATATTAAAATATCAAGGCAAATATTGAAAATTACATGACACACAGCATGCATCTACTCAACATGAGACATGCAGCTTTATTAAAAATCATTAGTAAGGATGACATCATCTGAAGACAAAGAATCTTTGTGTGATCAGCACAGTTGCAACAAGGCATGGGTTTGTTAGTTTCCAACCAGTTGAATAAGCATTACTGGAGGAACTCATTTCATCACAGTAAAGCTTGCTGTATCACACTTATTTATGACAAGGTGTGTGTGTGTGTGTGTGTGTGTGTGTGTGTGTGTGTGAGAGAGAGAGAGAGAGAGAGAGAGAGAGAGAGAGAGAGAGAGAGAGAGAG